CTCTCTCTCTCTCTCTCTCTCTCTCTCTCTCTCTCAGACAGACAGCTTCGCCCTCGCAAGTAAGCTCGGTCTTTCAAGGAGGGGGGGGTGTGGCATACTGTGTAGCCACACGGGCCTGCAGGGCCTGTCCCGCAGTCTCAGCCTAAAAGCCTAGAAACAAGGGCTTACAGGCCCCGTGTCCGTGTCAGCCTGACAGCCTGAAAACCAGGGCCTACAGGCCCTGTGTCTGTTTCAGCACAGGCCCCGTGTCATTTCAGCCTGACAGCCTGAAAACAAGGGCCTATAGCCCCTCAGGCTTTAGCCAGAAGCTACCTGGAAAGTTCCGGAAGCTTCCTCAGGCTTTAGCCAAAAGCTACCTGGAAACTTCTCGGAAGCTTCCTCAGGGTCTAGTGGGCATTGGCAAGAGCAGCCTCCTGGACGGGCCAGCACTATATAAGACTGGCCCGCCCTACAGGCAAGGTAAGTTGGACAGAAGGCAGGAGGCAGTCTTCAGGATTCGGCCGCAGCACTCTAGAGGCGCGCTGCAGGAGTAGCTTAGCGCTAGCAGTAGTCTTCAGCGCTGGGCGCTAGTAGCTGCAGGAGTAGTGGTAGTGGTAGTAGTCTTGGAGGGAGATGGCTGGCGGAGGCCAGCGAGACTTACCTGTGGCGCCGTAGCTCCAGCTCCATCTTCGAGGTACCTGCATCAAGGCGCCAGCTTCACAGGTTAGTACTGGACACAGAGAGAGAGAGAGTGAGAGAGTTCTTCTTCTTCCTTTTCTAAGTCCACCATCTCTTCTTCACCCTCTCCCTATCTGACTTCTCAGTATCTGCAGACTACGACAGGGAGAGAGAGAGTTGTGACTTGAGACTTGACGACATTGGATCCAGACCCGACATTGGGATTCAGACATTTTGACGAGGGACTATATGGGCTTGTGCCGAAGACTTGGTGTTGACGACATTCCCATCTTCCCCTCTTCTTCGTCTAACCCCCCTCTTCTTCGTCTGTGTATGGTCGGGGCTGGCGCATTCTTCCTGTGTGAGCGCCAGACCCCTTCACACCATGGAGTGATGATGATGATGATGTATGTTCGGGGCTGCATTGCAATATTGATTGTTCGGATCATTGGTATCTAAGTATTCCGCTACGCTATCTTGTACTTTGTGAGAGAGGTCGGTTCTTGTTCTGGTCTGCACCGTTACAGTATGCAACAGTTTGGTATCGGAGC